TAGTGTTGACACGTTAAATGGCACCTAAATTTTTGTGCGTCCACGCACGCTTGCTCCTTCACAGAGGCGCTGTCATCATTTTTGTGTGCCAAGTTCCGGCTACGCTCATCGCTTTAACTATTTCTGTTATAAAAATGATGTGCCGTGTCCACATGGAGGGCTGGCTGTCGTGTTCCCAAGGCTGTCTTTGAGAATATTACACAGTGAAGCCCCAGTCTCTTCCACGGTGCGACTCTCGCTCCACTGTCTGAAAACAGTGAAACCGTTTTTTTAACCGTCTGGCGCAAAATTAAACCTTAATGCTCGAGCAGGACCATCGGTAGTACTAACGACGGTCCTGGTTCGAGTATCATAAGCTTGTTAAACGAATTCACTGAATCCTCTAAGCCACAGAACCGATATTTATGCTATAAAACTGTTGTCTCATTTCTGCTTCGTTGCCCACATAAACAGCCAGTGGGTGGCCATCAGTAAAAGTGAGTGTGTCCTATAAGTTTCTATACATAATAGAAATAAACATATCACCAATCCCATGACAAGCTAATTTCCAGCTGTGCTTATACTTATACGCTTTCTTCAACAAGGGGGAACAGGCATCTTCATTGTTTTTTTTTTTAAAGCAAGGGTTGTCGCGTAGAACATATTATATAAATAAGAATGGTTTTCAATAAAAAAAAAAAAGAAAGAACAAGTGTATTTTGACTATTTATGGGACACCCTGTAGTTAAAGTCAGTTGCATACCCTTTACAGGACTTTGCAGAGCAAACCCCAGCATTTGTTGGCTATTGTGGTTTTCCTAGGCAAATTTATGTCCAGTAGTTTGTCATTGCTTTCTGGACTGTCGGCTTCTCGATACCACTGACGAAACCAACGCAAGGCCCGCAGCTGGGATCGAACCCGGCACCCCGGCATTACAAAGCGCGTTCGTAACGCCTAAGCCACAAACGCCGCCCACCCTGTAGTACTAGACCCATATTTTATATTTATAGACCACTTGGAATTTTTTGATTTCTATATTGTTAAATGTAAACGCACACTTGCCGCCTTACTTACATGACGTTTATTGATACCATATTAAGGCTGTTCGCTTTCAAATCCAGCTGCGACTCGCTGCATCCCACGGTCAGTGTTCGAAACCAGACGACTCCCGGGGTTCACCCAGCCTCTAGGAAATGGGTACCAGAGTGATACTGTGGGGTAAATGGAGGAATGTCGCTGTAGCTACAGAGTTACGTGCCAACGGCGACACAGGCGGACAATTCTTATCAGCTGTCCGTACTGGTGGCGGAGCACTTATGGTTTATAACCGTGTGCAATGACGCTGGTTGACATCTCCCGACTTTACCTTTACCTGGAAGCCAAAAACCATTATAAAATATCTGACGGTGCAGATTGGAACCCGCGACCTTCAGTAGCGATCAGTACTTGTGAGTTTGTGTTTTGCATAGCTTCCACTTTGCCCCGCTGGGCGATTGTATGTATGTGTGTGTTACCGAGGGACTGCTATTAGAATGTGCCTACCTACGGATACACAGCTACGTGAAATGTGTTATTAATTACCTGGCGACAGGTAATTAATTTTGTTTGATGCACACGTTTACTGTGGAGATGTAGTTGCTTCATAGCCGGCGGCTGAGGGATCAGTAGGACTGCAGTAGGTTGAACTCGAATATTCCTTGAGTGGGTCCCGAACTCTCATTGGGGGGGGGGGGTGTTGACTGGTGCGATTCTTGTGTTTTTATTTGTAGCCGTAGCCACAGACGGTGGTCATTGAAATGCTTGCCTCTTCAGATTTATTAACTCTTTCAATACCAATCAACTTCATTGATAATTATATACATTTAAAACATTTTCTATCGTTTTAATTCCAGTTCTTCTCTTACCGTAATTCAGATGTTTCAATTTGTGACCTGTTATGTCCGAAAATTGTATTGTTTAAACTATGGGAATTGTCGAAGAAACTGCTGCTTTCAACTGAAAGCGTTGAAGGCGATACCATATTGCAGTTATTGCATTATATTATAGACCTCACATAAACTGGGTCGTAAGTGTGTAAGGTGTGAAGGACCGCAACTATCCTTCTTTTGCTTCCTACACTTAGCCTTACCAACAATTTCCCGTGGCGCGAAAAGATTTCTTTCCTAGTTGACTTCTATGAGAATTGAAAACTGTCAACTGTAGAGATTTGTTTTTGCGACGGATCAACATCATGGCACACGGGTTTAACCCGTAAGTGCTCCATTCTACTGCTCACTCTAGACTGAATCTGAAGAATCTTAGCGCAGTGCACGTACTCCGTTGCACCGGCGAGGATCCTGAAATACTTTGAGTAGATTTTCAACTCAAAATTTTGCCCGTGCAGCGCCGTTAAGCTACTCTTTTCGGTTTCCAACTGCCAAGGATTTTTTTTACGTGCGCAAGAATACACACACAGACGCCCGTAAAGCACTTGAAACAGACAGTCGCTGCGGAATCAGAATGCACACGACTTTTTCTACTTCTTGCAATGAAACAGAAAATTCTACATTGTGGCAGCTCTGAGAGTTTTTTTTTTTCTCCAAAAGGAGTTCACATTAAAGCAGTATAATTATGTCATTAATTATAACCAGCTTATAATTATAATGCCTAGGCTGTTTTTGTGACCATTGCTAACATTGATACACTCACTTCTTCGCGCAAACTCACATGCACCTGTGCGTGGGCGATTATAACTCTCCACAATCTGCGATCCGCAACTCCCCCTCTGTGCTGTGACAAAAGACTGTCAAGAATCTTCTTGCGCTCTCTTCCTCTGTCTCCCTCTTCAGATCTTTCCAGTGGTCACAAAATGTTCCTGTTTCCCTTTTCTCATAACAATAAAAAAAAAAAAAAAATGATGACTGTCTTCTTCTGATAACTACTGGACGTAAATTTGCCTAGAAAAACCACACAACAGCCAGGGGCTGTTGGGGTTGGTTCTGCAACATCCTGTAAAGGATCCAATTAAGGCAGAACTCTGATGTTTGTGACGAGTTATCTTCGAGCACTCGGCTCTTTCAAAACATTTGGGTTGCTTCCCTTAGCTGTCCAAGAATATCTACGAATTATTCTGTAAAACCTCATCTCCGAAGCGTCAAGATATTGTTCAAGTTGTTTTTTAATTGTCCAGGTTTCACAGCCGTATGTTAAAACTTGATCTATATAGCATGCGATAATTGTTTTCCTCAACTCCAATGACATGGATTTATTGCACAGAATGTTTTTAATTGTATAGAAGGCAGTTTTGATCAGTCCTATTATATTCTTTATCTCTGTGATACATCTTTCATCAGATGTTATCAGTGTGCCTAGATACTTAATTTCTACACTTGTCCTAAAATAACGCCTTTGACTTTTCCTATTTATATAAATATCTACGGAGAGAGAGAGAGAGAGAGGAGAGAGAGAGAGAGAGAGAGAGAGAGAGAGAGAGAGAGAGAGGGGGGGGGGGGGGAGGGAGAGATCGTAGTCTCTAATGTACATAGGAAACTGTAGAGCAATGTCCACTGCAACCAATTTCCATCTTTATCGTGTAGCAAGTGTTTCAACAAACGAGCGGACAAATCATGTCTGCCGAGTTGTGAATAGAACGAAAGAGTGTGAGAGAGAATATATAAATTTACATAGATAACAATAGAGAGAGAGAGAGAGAGAGAGAGAGAGAGAGAGAGAGAGCGAGAGCGCAGAGAGAGAGAGAGAGAGAGAGAGAGAGAGAGATCAGTTACAGCTAGCCGTCTACCGAGAGCGTCGCACAAAGCACGAACACTGTAGCTCCCGAATCTCCATAAAACCCACGACGCTCAGACTTGTGATGGTCCTGCTGTAGCCTCTAGTCAGTGTTTAGAAATGCAAACAGATGCAACATAAGTTTACACCGGGTTTCTGGGTCATTTTTATTAGGGAAAACAACATTATACCCAAACTGAGCTGGCTAATTATTCTTCCTGGTACGTTGCAGAAAAGTAGGTTTTAAGCCGTCATTGATTTTCCCCCATGGAGAAAGTTAATTCCGAATGTAGGTTTCTTTTATGTCTAGTAAGGTTGTATTTGTGGTTGGGAGGGGGGGGGGGGGGGCCAGATATATAAATGGATTGGTGCGTGGAGTAGAGTATGGTTGATGGGTTAGAACAGTGACTCTCAACCTTCCTAATGCCGCGACCCTTTAATACAGTTCCCTCATGTTGTGGCGACCAGCAAACAATTATTTTCATTAATAACTTCAATGAATAAGTGTTTTCCGATTGTCTTAGGCGACCCCTGTGGAAGACTCGTTCGACCCCCCCCCCCCCCCCCAAAGGGTCGCGACCGGCAGGTTGAGAACCGCTGGGTTAGGAAGAGGAAGGGAGAGTTAAATAAGGCACAAATAGTTTACTTATTTGACTCTTTAGGATTTGTTTGTGTTATTTTTGGTGTAGTTGGTAATAGTTTCTGTTGACATAAATTAATTTGATCACGCGTGCTCTTATTACATCTTTAGAGTTATCAACCATTCGCATGTTCAATCCAGGTGCATGTGTCATTACTTTAATTGTGTTATTCTCCCGTTATCCCAGCATAATTTATTGATTGGCGCTTATAGATGTAGAGGAAAGAAATATAGACATTAGAACTACATGTTTCCGTGGCCAGAAGCATTCCCGAGTGATTTATTTTCTATTTACCTTTCTTTTCTGAAAAGGTGTCCTTTTAACTGTTGGACAGGAGGAACCTGAGCTTTCTTGGCAGTGTTAAATGTTGTTGAACTTGTAATGACGGTTGCGTCCATTGATCACTGCCATAGTCTGGTTTATTGATCTCTGCCATAGTCTGGTTTATTGATCTCTGCCATAGACTGGTTTAGTAGCATTTTAATGATGATTTAATATGATTTAATGTAAAGTGGTAATTTAATGTTTTGATGAAATAGATAAAATTGTTCAACAGCTAGGTATGTTACAGTTTTGTACAGTGTTTTTTTCTATTTTCTCATTCACACATATAGGCATATGCATCTGGAAGTGACATTGTGATTCTGGCCAGTAACTTTGAGCGTGTAGTTACCATACCTGGTGTGCTGAGGGGAAACATCAAAGTGAGCTGTGTTGATTGCTCAACAGACACAGGAAAGGTAAGCTGTGAATGAATAAATATTGATACTGTAAGGATTCATTTGATCATTATCATTTATCATGTCTGTAAATATGGGTGATCATGTTTTGCCACCTCACACATTCTGTAGGGATTTACTGGTTTTTTTTTTAAAAAAGAAAAAAGGGAGACGGTACTCCTCATTGTATCCACATAAAAATAGTTTGCTGGCTAGAGGAAAGGCCCAGTTGTTCTTGCCTTTCACAAACTTTTCCACGGTTAAACTCAACCTTTACCTTAAACATTATCTGTAAATGACTATCTAACAGGGTTAATTGCGGTACACAACAAGTTGGTCTACTCACAGAATACTTTGATACTGACAGTTAATAGGTCATCTTTGTTTCTTCTGCATTCCCCCACTCATTGTTCAGAGAGCTGTCAAGTTTCCTCATGATGTATGTGTTGTTTGCCAATCAGACTAGAACAGATTTCTTACTAATTCCCCTTACTTTAGGTTTTTCATTTGTGTGTGTCAATTAAACATTAACTGGAGTTGAGAACTAATGAAGAAAATGAACTGAAGTTAAATGTTTTTTATATTAATTATCAGTTTCTGACAATTCTGTATTATAAAATGATTTAAAGATACTGTCTTTAAATTACAGATTGCTGCCAGTTTTGGACGAAAAATACATATATTTGAACCCACACCTTCTAACACAAGAAGTAGTCACGTAAGTCACTTTACTAATGTTTGAAACATAAATGTCACCATAATTGAAAACTCATAAAAATTTTATAATAAATGTTTGCTTTTCATTTTAAAACATAAACACTCACACAAAGGTATTATAGATTGCATTTTAATTTTCTGCATTTTGTTACCAAATAAAAATGATACTGTATAACTGCAGTAAAGATAATAAAATATGACAATAAAGTAAGCACAGAAAGTGGGAAGAATGTTGGTTATACAAGCATGATCATAAATGGCAGATGTGGGTCAGTAACTAAACCTTTCTTAGTATTAACAGTAACTCTGTGTGGGTTCTGGGGTCCCATTATGGGGAAAACAAGAATAGACCCACTGCCTTCCCAACAAGCATGTCATGTCATGTCATTTTGGGTCAACTAATTGGGGCCATATAATTTTATTTCATAGTTATTGTTTGGTTGCGTCTTTGAAAGCTTCTTGTCCTTATAATATCTAAGTGATATTATACCCATATAGTAAAGGTGAATGGCTGATCATTCCAGAGTCTAACTACATATGAACTACTGTAACAAAATCTAGGAGTGGTAGGTTCTGTTTAATGTGCAATAAATTTCCAGTTTGCATAGACAGTAAATTCACCTGGTTTTAGTCATTAGTTATAAACTAATGAGATTGGCAGAATACAGTAGTTGATGCCAGTTTCAAACCCCCTTTTAAGGCTGATGATATTATAAGTCTTCTGCTGGTTGAAACATATAAGCTCAGTACCCAGTATACAGAACACAGACTATGCTTGTCCAAATGTAGTTTAGGGGAAATGTCTGGAATTTCCAAATGCCACTTTCTACATCTGTGTGGCATTCTATTGCATGAGCCACAGTGTCACTTACACCATCAGCTACAAGAGGTGTGGCCTGAAATACATTGGTGAAGTGGGTCTGCGACTGGCTGATGGATTCAGACACCATTTTTTAGGATGTGCAGATCGGTGCTCACTGATCTTTTTTGTTACTCATGAGTAAAGGTTTTTGCCGAAATGTTTGATTTCTGTTTGGATTTGCTTCTTGTAGTCCTGGGGCATTTTTGCATGGCAATGAGACCCATATACTCAGAGGAATGGCATCCATGCTTGTGTACATGACTTACAAGAGTCAGGAGTGCTAACTAGCCAGGGATTTATTTGCCTCCTTGTCTATATTAGTGTAGACATTAAAAATTAGTGTTTTGAATTTCTCAAAACTTGCATCAGAGCAGTATTGCTTTTGTGAAATTATCACAGCAGGTTTTTTTAAAACAGTTTTTATAATTTAGTTTTCTCATGTCTTCAAGTTAAAAGCAGCTGAATTATGGCCCTTTTCACCTTCTTATGCTGGGACTGGAAACTACCTTTTTTCTGTTATATAATTTATTTATTACAGCATTATATCACTTTAGTTTAATACTGGGAATTACTACCACAAAAAGTAAAACACCATGATAGTGATTATATTTGTATTACTTTGTTGAAAATTTGTGAAATTAGGTATGTTTTTGTCTGAATACGCAACATTCTCACTTGTTTGAAAAGGTGAGAAAGTTGCTGAATTATTTTTTTTTTAACCAAAAAGGCCAACTGTTCCCATTTATGGAAATTTATGGTACAGATAGGAATTGCTGTATGAATGCAGATAAATCTTACTTTGAATGAGAATCTCCATTATAACACAAATAGGAAGATAACATTTTGTTATTTGAACTGAAGTTCACAAAATGTCTAACATTATGTGGAAAAGTTTTGTCATTAGCCGCAGTTCAATCATAAAAATTGCTAGGCATTCTTTGTGAGTTTAATCAAAGTCCATAGTAATGTTACTGACCTATTTTGGTAAGTTTTATTAAGTGAACTAAAGTCTGCAGTAAAATTATTTGCGAAAATCATCCATAGGTTTGCTAAAGCTTGCTTTCAAAATATTTAATTAGAAGGGGAGAAGACACCTAATATTGAATGTAATGATGGCAGCATTTAAGAAATATGTTTAATTTAATGTTTAGTTGCATAGAGAAAGGTGGGGCCATACATTCTGAATTTAGAAAGCTGAACATTGTTGACAAAACAACCGAATGACAGCATATTAGTATAGTGAATATGCTCAGCCTTTTAATAAAACCAGGCCTGATTTGGTCATATCTGGAATTACTTGTACCCTAGGGTGCCGAAACGAAGACAACATCGAAAGGCGAGGGGGGGGGGGGGGGGGGGACCCCAGAGAGTCTAAGTCTTGTTTAAGTGCATATTCTTCTTCTTCTTCTTCTTTTTCTTCTTCTTCTTCTTCTTCTTCTTCTTCTTCTCTTCTTCTTCTTCTTCTTCTTCTTCTTCTTCTTCTTCTTCTTCTTCTTCTTCTTCTTCTTCTTCTTTGCATTCACCAGCTGTAAACTGTGTCAGAAAGTATTGGTTTTTCATCCACTACTGGACTTTAGTCTTATTCTAGAACCTGAGTGTTGCGTGCACATTGCAGACAGTTGGTTGGTTGCCTCTCAGGCAGAGCCACCAGGACTTCGAAGGAAACCCTAAATTAGTTTGACATACTTGTTGAGGAGGCGGTGGGTCCAATCTTGTTTTCCCCATAATGGGGCCCTGGAACTCACAGGAGGATAAGTGCTTAATTGTAATGGGCGGAGTGGCAAATAGATATAATAATATTTTTGAAATAATATCAAATGCATAAACAGATACTGAAAACAAAAACAAAAAACAACAACATAACAACTATGTATGGTTAATGTAGCCACTTAGTCCCTTACAGATTGTTTAGGCCAGAGCTATTCAACTGGCGGCCTGAGGGCCACATCTGTCCACGGAGACCTAGCAAATGTCCCGCAGATCGTTGCCAGTTGTATTATGTTAATGATCTTTCTATTCTTGATCTTGGACTTATGGCTCGGGATGAATCCCGATTAAAAAATATTTGCCCGTGAGTAAACTTAGTTGAATAGCCCTGGTGTAGACCCCTCCTGTTTTGGGGCGGGGAAGGGGGGTGTTACATTGAAGGGCCCCCAGCAGTTCTGGTGCCCCTGCTTATACCTAAACATTTGTATAATTACACTCCGGCTAACATGCTTTCATATTTTCCCTGAATAACGAGTTGGCCTCTGTGGGTGCTTGTGGTGGTGTTTAAACATAAAATATATGCCCAGATGACCTATTATTTCTAACATTATTTTGTTTTCTTAGCGCCCTTCTGATAGGGATAAATCTAACAGTGCCAAGGTTTGTGAGTCAAATCATTACTGTTTTTTTTTTTCATGTAGTGGAATGCAGCCAGAAGGTCCGCTAAAGTATAATTAATAGCCGCCTTTGTGTAACTCTTTCCCTTCAGTACTTCATTCCCTTTTAGCCAGTGCTTTATGTCTGTATTTGAGCTGTTCACAGTCAACCCATATGCCATTTTTCTGGTAAATTGCATTGTCATGTTAGTTTTTGCCATCCATTGTTTTGATACAACTTTGCAGTATTATTTCTCTTTGCACTACTAGTCTTTAAAACACATTTATGTGAAAAAAGAAAAAGAAAAAAAAAAAATCGAAGTGTTATTGTTTATACCTGAGAAATAGAGTCAGCTATAATTCATTTTTAAAAATGATTGTCGTTTTTTTTAAATAAAAACCTTATAAACAGCCGTGCAAGAAAATAATGCTGCGAAAAAATCATCTTACAGTTGTTCAGTCTCACGCAAATAACTGCTTATCGTATGCTTTTTACAACATTGCTACCACAAATAATGTACATATTATCACTAGCACATTTTATAGCTGTGTCCTTATTCACTGTTATATTGTGCCAAAGTACACAGCCCTGTATGTAGTACTATTTGTAGTGTATTAAGTTGTATTATTGCATTAGATGGTTGTGATTTTATAACCAAGGCGCGCGTGTATGTGTGTGTGTGTGTGTGTGTATGTGTGTGTGTGAGAGAGAGAGAGAGAGAGAGAGAGAGAGAGAGAGAGAGAGAGAGAGAGAGAGGGGAGGGGGAGAGAGAGAGGGGAGGGGGAGAGAAAGAAAACATGTATGTTTGTGTGAGAGTGAATATGTGATGTGTGCGTGCGCGCACGCGTATACCCCCTCCCCCTCTTTTTTCAATTATGTTTTAAATATTTTTGTTGAAGCCCTAATGGTAATGAAACTGAAGTTGTGTGAACGGTAGTTATACAGTATGTTCCACAGAAAAATCTGTACATGCATGCACACACAGTGCAAGCCGCTCAAGGCGATCTCAGGTGTGGTGATTTTCTGTTGTGAAGTGTGTCTACCCTATCCCCATCCGGCAGTTTTCTTACTCGAACTCTTTATCTGGATAATACAAATTTCTGATAACTTAAAAAAAAAAAAAAAACAATTTATTGGGTCCCACAAAGTTCTCCTTATCAGATCTGCACGGTGTTTATCTTACTGCAGCAGTTCAGGGACGTTAACGATGAGTTGTCAGCTTGTTTCAGATCATCCAGTTTTCAACATGGACACTCATTGTTGCACTGGAAAAGTCCTGCGAATCGTCAAAGACAAACAGAGCAAAAAAAGTTGCATTTGTCGCTTGTAAACACTATCTGCTTAAGCGTAACAGAGTACATGCGTGGCTACGTGCACCAAATAATTACAGACACAAATAAAACATATGATATTCGTAGAATAAGACGAGTGGAAATGTAACCTTGCAACAACCTTCCATTAATTGAAAGGGCAGGAGACATTAGTTCTCAAGTAGCCGTACACACCCGCATTAATAAAAACCCAGTAACTAACTCTAGCTAGCAACTTCATGCGCCAAAAGCTAGCTTTTGAATGTAGCAGCCAGGAAGGACATTCAGATCTGTGTTCCTAATGATTTTTTGGTACAGTCGGGCTGAGGGTTGAATTGACGGAGACATGAAATTTGACGTTTTGCCAGTTTGCACACTCTGTTAGGCACGCACATTTATGTTGGTTCTTTTACTAGAAGTGTGGGGTTGAGTCTTTGGTTGTCTATTTGTTGATAAACGTGCGTG